ATATGGCTATAAAAACATGAAATCGCGAGAACGCGAGAATGCGACATTGCATTTTCTCGCGATCTCGCGTTTTAGACGCTGTCGTTGCGCATGCGTAATATCATAAGGTCAAGGCGCATGCGTATCTAAGTAGTGCTGTGGTCATGCTTCTTTCATGCTTTTCACTTCCCAAGTAGCATTTAGCAAAATTATGACATACTAGTAGCTTGAAAATGCTATGTAATTTACAACATACACGATGTGTAGGGTAGAGTTTATGAGACCGTTCCCGTTGTTACAATTTCCTATGTACTTAAACATCCTCAACATGTAAAATTGTATTTAAGAAACGAAATTGTGAATATGAATGTCCAATAAAAGTCAAAACATGAAAGTGTCCGGAAGCTGGAAAAATATTGACGTCAGTGAGTGATAAAATAGTGCTTAAAGCCGCATCAATACGCAGCTACACCGTCAGTTATACAAATAATCACCGAGCAGTGGGTTTCTCCATGATGCGATATCATATACGGCTAGCATATTCATTCAAACAAAGTTCTAACAGACCAGTTTGTAGCAGTGGGCTAAAATGAACATGTCTGATGATTTTTCTTACTCGACATTATATTCGCTACTTTAGGCCATAAAATATTAATTAATAAATTTTCTCCCGCTCCCGCCTCATTACAAAACACCCTGTCTTACATGATTCTTTCGTCTCCAAGTTCCAAGAAATAAAAATGCATTTGTACCAATAATATTTGTGTTCCTCTGGCAGACATGATATAGTGGGGACTCAATGTGTTATTAACCACAGACTACGGATTATGGGTTAGATATCTGTTTATTTCCATATCGTGGTGGAAGAAGACACCCTGTAATAACAATAATATACAGTCGTGTTAAGCCAAACTCACTCACTTCTTTAGAGCAATGCACGTGCCCCGGGCTGTGAATGGGGGTTAATTTCCAATATTAGCATGCCGAGCTTGTGAAGGTAAGGCCGCAATACATTAATAGACAGAGTTTGATTAATTTCTAAAACAACATGAGAGGCGGGAAGTATGTTGATTTGCATTTAGTTTTTGTCTAATCGAACTTTTTAAGGCACCCGTGTACATTTACTGTAGAAGGATTCGATTCACATGCATCATGCATGTTCAGTAGGGCTACGTTTGTGGAGTATTTCATCAAGTAAAGAAAGTAGGAATGTAACGGGTGAATTAAGTAGTTGTATATTGTGTACGTAAATGAATAACTAATCATCATTATCAGGATATAGTGGTCTCGCAGACGACGACTTCTTTATGCATTTAAGTTGCAATTAGTTGTCAGTTCAGCTGTCTCTTGTCCTTGTGTTTCTGTGAGTGAGTTATTGGGTTTAGTTTATATGGCGGCGGTATGTAAATAATCGAGTGTGGACCAGACAATCCAGTGATCAACATCATGAGCATCGATCTGTGCGATTGGGAACCAATGATATGTGTAAACCAAGTCAGCGAGCCTGACCACCCGATCCCGTTAGTCGCCTCTTACGACAAAAATGGGTTGCTGAAGATACATTCGAACCCTGACCTTCACGGGTGTCTTTGTGTTTCATGTACAGTTCTGTGTCACAATTTGGTCAGAATCAAAGGTTAGTTATTATACATTATAATTTTACATACATAGTAAATTAAACCCTAACATTAATCATTACACAAAATAGGTATAAATATGCCCATGATAACAAAATAAAAGTCATTACACAATATACCATTTAACGTGTATGAATGTGCTTATGGTAGTTTTTTATATGTCCAGTCAATATGTTGGCTAGTAGTTGTTGTTTGGTAACTATTTTCTGTATCATGTAAGATTGATACATCTCATCTACCATGTATATTGTATGTACTTGACAAAGGTTACATTTGATCAGTGTGTGGTTCTTATATGGGATTATTGCATGCGTTGACTGTGCGCCTGCTGAATGTGCAGACACATTCTCGTGTAACCCACAGGATAGGTTTCTTTGTACAGTATCTACAGTATATTTAATCATTATACTATGTATTATTATAAGTCTTTATGTCAACACTCATGTTGTATATCACTGTAAACACGTGATCACGTAAGTCACCTGTGTTATATTGCATCGCGTAATGCCTGTATATGATTGTTGATAGGCACATTTATGCACTATATTTATTATGATGACATGTTCATCGGATGTGATTTTATGTTACGTTTATTGTGTATAAAAATAGAATTGTTATTACAGGGTGTCTTCTTCCACCACGATATGGAAATAAACAGATATCTCACTCGTAACCCGTAGTCTGTGGTTAATAACACATTGGAACTCCGCCATATCATGGCTGCCACAGGAACACAACTATTAGCTATACAAATGTATTTCTATTTTTTGGAACTTGAAAACAAAAGAATAGTATAAAGCAGGATGTTTTGTAGTCAGGCGGGAGCGGAAGAAAATCTATTAAAGTAGCGAATATGGTGTCGAGTAAAACATCACACATGCTCATTTTAGCCGACTGCTACAAATTGGCCTGTTAGAATTTTGTTTGAATGAATATGCTAGCCGTATATGATATTGCATCATGGAGAAACCCACTGCTCGGTGATTATTTCTATAACTGACGGTGTAGCTGCGTATTGATGCGGCTTTAAGCACTATTTTATCACTCACTGACGTTAATATATTTCCAGCTTCCGGACACTTTCATGTTTTGACTTTTATTGGACATTCATATTTCCAATTTCGTGTGTTAAATTATATTTAACACGTTGAGGTTGTTTAAGTACATAGGAAATTGTAACGGGAGCGTACTTATATATACTTCCCTACACATCGTGTATGTAAATTACATAGCATTTTTAAGCTATGGCATAATTTTGCTAAATGCTACTTGGGAAATGAAAAGCATGAAAGAAGCATGACCACAGCACTACTAAGATGCGCATGCGCCTTGACCTTATGATATTACGCATGCGCAACGACAGCGTCTGAAACGCGAGATCGCGAGAAAATGCAATGTCGCATTCTCGCGATCTCGCGATTTTGTATTTTTGTGGCCATATTTGACAAGTCGAGATAGCGAGAATGCGAGATTTGACAGCATGTACAAATGTCGCATTCTCGCGATCTCGACTTTTGACAAAATGTGCTATGTACCAAAAACACGAGAATGCGAGATCGCGAGAACGCAAGATTTTGGCCAAATCTCGCGTTCTCGCGATCTCGCATTCTCGCACTTTTGGGATTTTTAGCTTGTTTCCAAAGGTCGAGATCGCGAGAATGCGAGATCGCGAGAATGTCCCTTACAGTATTCCATAGGAAACTGATAGCCAGCCCGGCATTCAACCGGAGCAAGATATTTAACGACGACCTGGTGGCCCTACACATGAAGAAGAGCCACATCAAATTCAACTGGCCTGTTTACGTGGGGATGAGCATCCTCGATTTATCCCCAACATCTGATGTGCGACTTTTACTACAACGAACTGAAGAAACAGTACGGCGACAGGTGCGATGTGCTGTACACGGACAGGGACTCCCTGCTGATGGAGATTCGAACCGAGGACGTGTACGAGGACATGGTAAAACACATCCATTTATACGACACAAGTGACTACCCCAAGGACCATGCCATGCAGAGCACGGTTAACAAAAAGGACCTCGGTTAATTGAAGGACGAGTGTGCTGGCACGCCCATAGCAGAGTACATAGGCTTGAGGCCCAAGATGTACTCCATCCTGAAAGCCGACAATAGCGAGACCAGGAAGGCGAAGGGTGTTAAGAAGTACGTGGTGAAACAACACATCAAACATGCTAGATTCAAGGAAGCCCTATTCAAGACCCGCACCTTCAGACATCAAATGAACACGCTGAGAAGCGACGGGCACAGGATATACGGACTGACGATAAACAAGACGTCCCTGTCGCTGATGGACACGAAGCGTTGGATAGCCATCGACGGGATCAACACGTACGCGTACGGGCATGAGAAAATTGAACCAAGAACATAGGTGTATATATACAATGTCACGAAACCAAAGAAAGTTTGAGGCTATTTACTACAGCCCTCGTGGGTACTGGAAAGGAGCTAGCGCCGTACATAAGCTGGCCAAAATGGCGCGAGTACCCCCGGACGAGGCCAAAGCGTGGCTTGAAAAAACAAGCCCTGTGGCAGATCTATTTACCGGCACCACGCTACGTGCCCCGAAGAAAGTTCGGTATTACCGCACCCAATAGCGTTCACCAGGCCGACCTCCTGTTCCTACCCCACGACAGGAGGTACAAGTGTGCCCTAACCGTCGTTGACATTGCCGGCCGCTACAAGGAAGCCGAGCCCTTGACCGCGAAGGATGCGGCCAAGTAGCCCGCGGATTCGACCGCATATACAAACGCAGTCCGCTGACATGGCCCACAGAGCTGCAAGTCGACCCCGGACGGGAGTTCATGGGTGCCGTGTCACAACTGCTAGCCAAACACGATACCAAGGTCAGGCGTGGCGCGGCTGGGGCTCATCGCAGCTAAGCCATAGTCGAGAGATTCAATCGGACTTTGGCCGAGCGCTTAGTCGGGCACCAGTATGCGAGAGAGATGGTCAACCCGGGAAAACGATCGACGGAATCAAATGGGTGGCTACCTCAGGTGGTGTCGGCTATCAACCACGAAACCACCCGTCTCACTGGCAAGAAACCAGCCGATGCTATCAAACTGAAATCAGTGGTGGCTGAGTCGGCTGCACCATCGCGTGGGAAGGAGAAACAGATACCCTATAGGGCACTCGTGAGGTACCTCTACCAGCCGGGGGAACACGAAGGGGACACTCGGAAACGAGCCACCGATCCGATATCGTCAGTCAAAACTTACATCATAGATAAAGTAGACATCAAAGCCAACGAGCCGAACTTGTACTACTTGAGAGATGGGCTAGGGAGAGGTTTCGTTAGAGAGGAATTATTAGTCATACCGTACGGCACAATGTTGCCACCCAAGCAAAATATTTAACACTTACCTTGTCGGGTAATCTTGATGGTATCCTGTCAACACGACATAGAGCTATCACATGATCAGGAAAGTGCTAGTTCGCGGTCATAGTGACCGGGAAGTTAACTGGGGATTCAAAAGTAGTATATACGATGGCGGCGAGATCTAAGGGCCTGACAAAAGCTTTATTTATGAAATAAAGCTTTACACAGGCTTTTGTTGGACTTGGTCTCGGACAATCACTGTATATACTACTTGGTAAATATTTTGTTTAGGGTATTCAATAATGCAGTACCTCTATAATTGTTTGGATCACCCCTTTCACCCGACTTATGCAGAGGTACAATCAATCCTACATTCCAGGAATCTGGAAAAACGCCGCTGTCTAGAACTCGATTAAACAGACAATTCATAAAAGGAAGCAATAAAGAAATACATTCTTTAAAAACTTCAACTGGAATACCATCTCCCCGGGTGATTTTCCACATTTCAGACTTTTTACTGCACACAATATCTCGTTATCAGTTATACGATTACCAAGGTATTCATCAACATTATCTTGTTACTCATCTGTCGTCAAGGTGATGTGTAGGCACCACACGAGTGTGCTTCACGAGCATTCACATATAGATACATGGTCATCACACAACGTCAATTTTACACTAACGGCACAGAAAATATCACAGAATATCAATTGCTTAAACAGAGAAGAAACATTAAAAACATTAATATCATCAAGTGTAAGTCGAATGTAGATTGAATGTGACCGCGAGCAGCACTGAACACCACCTACCTTCAGTTCAGGACCCTGTTGGTGAGTGGAGTGACCCGGATTCCTCTCCAGTCGAGATACCATTGAATGAAGACCTTTGTTTCATTGTTGACGACAGTATATATCATGGATCATAGGTGCGTGTCAAACAAGGATTGGGCAACTCTGAGCAACAGTAGATCGACAGTCTCATACCTGTCAACTCTCACGCATTTGGCGTGAGTCTCACGCTTTATTGACAAATGTCACGCTCTCACGCCTCCAAATAATAATCTCACGCATATCTGGTAGCCAAAAATAATTTCAAAATTAATACGCATTTTCGTTCGTTTTTGCGTAAAGTTGAACATTGAAAGAACGCCTGAATGAACGAAGTACTAAAACGATGTTTATGCGAATGATTCGGCTTATTATTATTTATTAGCATGCATCTTTTAGTGTCAAAAATATGCCACCAGAAGGCTCCAAATGCTCCTGAAAATCACTAAACTTCATTTTCGGGGTGGGGGTGGGTGGGTGGGGTGGGTGGGGGGCTTCGCCCCCAGAGACCCTCCACCAGGGCGTCGCCCTCGACATGACCCCGGCTGGACCCCGGCTTATTTTTTTTTGTCTCACTCCAAACCATCTTTAGGGGTTGACAGCTCTGGATCGTACCAGGGGAGTTGTATTCATTGGTGATTGTCGTCTGTAGGTTATATGTGTTGTATGTCAGTGTCAGTGCACTGTGTGATGCAGTAGCCATGTGGTAGCGTGCCTCGGTAGTTGAGCCCAGGTGGAACACTGCTCGTGACACACCCTTAGTGGGGACACCTGTTCCAGCGTCGTGTTTCTCAAAGTTAACAAGTCGACATCCATAACTCCCCGTCTTTATTTGCTTCTACTATGCTAAGTATTTGTGTTATATATTTAGATTAATTGATTTATATCGTGTTACTAGTTTAATTCCCAAACAGGGTCACAATAAGATACTACTTGTCATGTATCTTTGATGAACATGACACATTACTTCTTTAGTTTCATGGCTGAACACCACAGACAACTTGCTGTTTTGTCTCATAGATTAACATTTTGTTGTATTACTTCTTTAATTTCTAAGATTATTTAACATGAGGTGTCACGTGGTAGTGTTTTTCGTTATGTAACACTGTTCCAGGTGTAAGACATTGTATATGTGGCTAGTCAGTAGTGCGATCTATCAGGACTTGTGGTGTATTTAGACTTGTAGTAGATTTAGACAGAAAGATGTGGACGGTGCTACAAGAAGCTGTGTTTCGTGCTGCCGTATTGCTACCTCTGCATCATGCCAACTTGTGATGTTAGAATACAATTGTTAGTTACATCACATGTCGTCGTTGTTTGTTGGTGTCACCCCTAGCTCTTAAAATTATGGAATGATTCCTGGATTCAACTTTGTGTGCAGACTCTTTCAGTGTTGTCACAACCCCTAGTGTACAGTACACAACCCTGTGCATTTAAAAGAACCCACGAATCCGTTGGTAAATGACCAGATGGTTGCCACATGAATACGTGCAAACACCTAGTTGAGGGCTCAGCAACGTGCAGTAAACTTGGACAAAGTACTGTGACTATGTGTTCCAGTCCACACAGCTGTGAATGGGTACCTCGTAAGGACGGGAAAGCTGCAATAACGCAGTGCGCCTAGTGGCTGCAGGAGTTGTATGGTCCCCAGGGAGTTGGGACTGATAATACGACGTGCCGTTGAGACTGACATCCAGTGATCGAGGGAAAAAACCCAGCACCTTGAGCATGTACTAGTTGCGTGGATATGTGCGCTAAAGATATGAATGAATGAATGAATGAATAAATACAATAGTTATAACTTGTTAGTTTTAACTTGCGAATCAACACGTACGAGGTATTGCTTGATCTGGTCATTTCTAGACATAGATGTGCTTCGCTCGCCTGCAACAAATACCTATTTGGCTGAGTTGTCCTCAGTTTACAGTCGATATGCATCTCATGCTCATTGAATATCATGCATAACATTTGGTGGTTGTTGAAAAAGGAACGAAGAATATTGACACATCAATTTTAATTCAGAAGTTTAAAGGGTAACCTTGAACTAAAAGCTTGTTCACATTCGTGTATTTTAACATACACTGTGATCCGTACGTAGGAGAAGCGTCCGTTTTCCGAAGGGTTACTTTTAAAGGGGTCAATATCAATTACTGTATTCGATTTAACAACTTTGACCTTTATGGTCAGTTGATCCAGGCATAGGAGAAGAAGCCGTTTCGAAGCAGGAAGGAACACTGGTCCCGGTGGTAGAAGGTGGTCACCGTCGTTGTCGACCCGAGCAGGGCAGTGCTGATCTTCGTCGGTTTCCACGTCCTGGACGCTGGTTCACCAGTCTTTACGAAGGCGGATATTTCTCGACGTAAGTTGGCAGTGAAATCCCGGTCCGATTGGGAAGGATTGGGGATCCTGTCCTTTATTCCTCCGAAAAAGGCAACAGCGTCCCATCCATGATAAGAATATCTTGCGCGACCCCCGACAGGCTGAGAGGGCCACTGTGTCACCACGCATCTGTATGTGAACGACGTGAAATAGCTGTCAGCAACATCGGCTACAACGTCCACTGGACACGTAACACGCAGGTCAGAGGTCATTTCCGAGTACTGGAGGTCCGGCGTGGTATTCTGAGATGCAGGGTAGAGTTCCAGTAATCTGTGTGGTATTTCACTCCCAAACGAGGCGAGTTTTCGTGTGATCTCTGACCTGTACTGGGCCCAAGTCCATGTAGCTATGTCACGTGGTTCCCATCTGTCCATCTCCTGACCAGTGGTACCTACAATTAATGGTGACTACAGGTTATTGAAAATATTTCTTTATGAAATAGATCCTTACATATTCTAAACATAAAGGCAGGGGACTGAGGGGCGCCTGATCGCCACGATTAGCGACACGATAGATCGCAGGTCTGATGCATGATAGCTTGTAAAGGCAGGGGACTGAGGGGCGCCTGATCGCCACGAATAGCAACACGATAGATCGCAGGTCTGATGCATGATAGCTTGTAAAGGCAGGGGACTGAGGGGCGCCTGATCGCCACGAATAGCGACACGATAGATCGCAGGTCTGATGCATGATAGCTTGTATTATCCGCCCACCTGGGGAACAAATGAGAAAACAGGGTGAGGAGGGTGGGGGTGGGATAAGTTTCTGTACTTACTGAAGATGACGGGAACATCATTCCTATGTCCTGTCTGCCAGGCCGTTAGGGGAGCGAGGGGGATCACGTGACCTACAACGGAAGAATGTCGCGACGTCGTGGAGAATCGTATGTGAGTGGCATGGTAGATGTGGCGGGTACCTGGGTGTAATTTAATACATACAAACGAGAGAGAGAGAAATCGGATAAAATGACAATAGGAACTATGACTCTAGAGCTGAGACAGGGAGGCACAACCATTGTGGAACGGAGAGAGGACACAGATCCATAATGGAACTGAGAAAGTGAGACACATGGCCTGAACATACCATCGACAACAGCCAGGGCACCGTCGAAAACAGCCTTAGTAGGAAGGTCTGTATTGTCCGGCATAGACCACGTAGGGTAGACTGCCCAAGGACTAGCCCGCATCACGTCTCCCACGCTTAGACCAAGGAGGCACGAAATGTCCTTGCAACCGGAAGTCTTCAAAAATACCAGATTGTCACGTGATGCATCTGACGACGTCTTGTTCAGTATGGCTGAAGCACTCATGAGCCAGGCGCGATGGAACAGGCCTTTAGCTGGGGGTGAAGCTAAAAGACCGAACACGCTGGTGCCCCCGGAACTGTGGCCAAATAGTGTTACCTGAAATACGTTTACCAGAATGTGTTGCTTATTGTGCAATAATCAGATTATAACTTGTTGGTAATCTGAATTATGTGATAATTTGCAGAATTTACCTTGTTTGGGTCACCCCCAAAATTTCTGATATTAGACTGAACCCACTTCAAGACCTGAATCTGGTCCATAAAACCGTAGTTCCCGGATGTTCTTGTTTCGGATGCCTTACTGAGGAGGTCAAGGGTCATAAACCCCAGTGGTCCCAGTCGATAGTTCATACTGACAAACACAAATTGTAAATCCCTAGCCAGCTCGGGACTAGGGGAGTAACCGGGTATACTGCCATTTCCAAACACGAGATTGCCGCCATGGATCCACACCATGACAGGTAGACTGTCACTTCCGTCTAAAGATGGCGACCATACGTTGAGATATAAACAGTCTTCACTCCCAGACGATCGGTTGTAATTATAAAAGTTCAGTGGCTGCACACACTGTGTCCCGAATGTAGTCGCATCATAAGTTCCCGACCAGCAGGTGCCCGTCGAGTTACTGAGAGGTACTGGGGCCTTCCACCGGTTCTGGTTTACAGGCGGCTCAGCGTAGGGGATTCCTTTAAACACGTTGACGCCTTGTTCCAGACTCCCTTTGACGAGACCGCACTCCGTCATGACAGTTGTTCCAGATGCGGACAGTGGTTTCCCAATATGCTGTGAGCTATCGGTCCCAACAAGGAAAATTAAAGTCAGTAGTGTTACTGGGGCAAGTCTCGCGGCCATTTCTTTCATTAACTGCATCGACAATATGTCTAGTCCAAGGGTTGATGTTCTCGAAAACCTTTCACGAGAATGTCAAGGAAAAACTTCAAGAGTTGAGATGTTTCGCACAGCGACAGGGCAAGCGGGATATCTTACCAGGGCGAATGCCGGTGTGGCTGTCGGCTTGGCTTACATTACTTGTTTTCGTTGTTGCTAGGAAGTTGGTGAATGTGGTAATCTCGACTCTCCACCAATTTGTAATACACGGTCAGACATAGATAATAATTAGACAGGTTACGGTAACCAGCCCACTGTAAGTGGTTTGACACGACGGCCTCGAAATATATAATATTTCGATGTGACAGGATAGATTGGCAATGCTTACCACGTGTGTTAGGGTCACTACCTGGCTTCACGATGACAAAGCGTCCACATATATACTCACTATAACTATTGAAGAGTCACAGATGTCACCGGTCTGGGGGTAATCTGTGTGCCTGATGCATTGTGACACCAGTCTGGGGGTAATCTGTGTACCTGATGCCATGTGACACCGGTCTGGGGGTAATCTGTGTGCCTGATGCATTATGACACCAGTATGGGGGTAATCTGTGTGCCTGATGCATTGTGACACCAGTCTGGGGGTAACGTGTGTGCCGGATGCATTGTGACACCGGTCTGGGGGTAATCTGTGTGCCTGATGCCATGTGACACCAGTCTGGGGGTAATCTGTCCTGATGGGTCTGGGGTATCTGTGTGCCTGATGCATTGTGACACCAGTCTGGGGGTAATCTGTGTGCCTGATGCATTGTGACACCAGTCTGGGGTTAATCTGTGTGCCTGATGCATTGTGACACCAGTCTGGGGTTAATCTGTGTGCCTGATGCATTGTGACACCAGTCTGGGGGTAATCTGTGTGCCTGATGCATTGTGACACCGGTCTGAGGGTAATCTGTGTGCCTGATGCATTGTGACACCAGTCTGGGAGTAATCTGTGTGCCTGATGCCATGTGACACCGGTCTGAGTGTAATCTGTGTGCCTGATGCATTGTGACACCAGTCTGAGGGTAATCTGTGTGCCTGATGCATTGTGACACCAGTCTGAGGGTAATGTGTGTACCTGATGCATTGTGACACCAGTCTGTGGGTAATCTGTGTGCCTGATGCATTATGACACCAGTCTGGGGGTAATCTGTGTGCCTGATGCCTTGTGACACCGGTCTGCCGAAAAGGAAGATGAATCAAAAGTGCAGCATGATAACCTTTTTGGACAATAATTTAGATAGTTACCTCAAAATGCAAATGGACAAGAGAAAATCATAGATTTTACAGATGATTCACTGTTCATTGTGAGTGAGTGAGTATGGTTTTACGCCGTTTTTAGTAATATTCCAGCAATATCACGTCGGGGGACACCATAAATAAGCGTCACACATTGCTGTTCATTGTGAAATGTCTGGATAAAATGCACAAAATATTCGAGGAGCATTGTGCTAACTGTCCAATCTGAATTGCAGAGGTGAGAAAAAGCGGCTACGTTTTACATTGTTTTTACAAAGCTTTGCCATCTGATCACCTAGAATTCCTTATTACCATTTGCACACGGCTTCATTGAGAACTCAAAATATATATCCCTGCAACCTGCAGTGGCCTTATAAGGGCATGGAACAAAAGACTACCACAGTTTGCAACTTTCGGACATGTTCACGAGTATTTTGCAAGGAAAACACTATTAATTTCCTTTTCGGCTATAAGGAAAACCAAGTTCTATGGAGTGTCAACTTTTATGTTCCAACGAGTGCGACGTTTCGGTGTCGGTACTAACACCGTTATTTGCATTGGCAGAGCCAAGGGGGTGTACTCTGTCTATGCAAATAACGGTGTTAGTTCAACACACACACACACCCTACCCCCAACCCCCACCCAGCTCCTCCTTTTGAAACTTCCCCAATCCGCCTATGACAATTGACACTAAGTGATTGAAGAAAGCTTGGGCTGTTCCATGTCTGAACCAACGGTTGTCCCAATTGTTGGGATTACAGACATGCTGTTAATTAAGTATTCTGTTTTGACCCTTTTTCATTTGAGGAGACGGAAGCAAGGTGGACATGGTGCACCTAGTGGGGGACATTCCCCACAGAGATAAATAGCACACGCTATTTAACAATGACAATATGTTTTATGTTGGGGAACAGGTCAAAATTGCCACACGAAAAAAATGGCCATACCACAAAGTGAAAATGACCATAGAAAACGTCAAGATGGCCATACATTAGTTTTTCATATTAATGAGTATTGTTCTTGAAATGCTTTCCTGTTAATTAATTAATACTTTGAGATTGTTACTTATTTAATATTTTGAGATGTTTTTTTTATCCTGTTCTTTGAGATGTTTTCTTATGCAATACTTTGAGCTTCTTTGACACTTCTGATATGCATGTGGAATTTGGTGGTGTGGAAGAAGTCGTCGATTTCGTTGTGAGGTCAATGGAACTGTCCATTGAGGAAGACGAAGACGAGACTCATGAAGTGGAAGAGCGGTTCACCCTTCTCGAGACCGGCTCACAGAAGGGAAAACCTCTACTGATGGAGTCACATGACGAGGATGAGCGGTTCACCCTTCTCGAGACCGGCTCACAGAAGGGAAAACCTCTACTGATGGAGTCACATGAAGAGGAAGAGCAGTTCACCCTTCTCGAGACCGGCTCATTTTTTTATTGGAGAGGGTGTGTGTGTGTGTTGTGTGTGTGTGTGTGTGTGGTGGTGGGTGGCGTGACAACCATTATTGGCATGAGTATAATATCTATTATTATAGTAAATAATAGTAATTCATTGCAGTTCTGTATTACATTGTAATGTGATGTTGTAAATATAATATATACATTATAACGTATCATGTAATATTTATCAAGTGTATTTTCATTTTAGTCTTCAAGAGGCCAGAAAGTGTACTGATTTGTTGATGTGTAATATACATCAAGTTTTGTCTGATATAACTTCCTTTGTCATTTTTACACCTTGATATCAAATAATACACCTTGATATCACAAATAATACAACATGGAAAATGTTATGGGTATTAACAAATAAAACAATAATGTATGGCCATTTTGACTTTTTCTATGGCCATTTGTCAGCAATTTTGTACACATGTACCAGAAGGCGGGGTCAGCAATTTTGTACATAAAATTATGTTTAATATTATGCTTAGAAATTTTGGGAAGGGGAGGGGGGGTCATTGATTTTGTACATGACATGCTGGGGGGGTCACTTATTTTGTACATAATTTTTTTTTTCGTTTTCGGGGGTGTCATTCACATTGTACATGCTTCTCCATAAAAATAATCATCAAACACACACACATACACACACCAGCCATAGATTATGAATGGTCCCTTATGTGACTGTAAAGCTGTGTAACCCCCATGCATTTTTAGCGGTCTGAAGTACTCGTACTAGAGTTTGGTCCCTTGTTGGAATTTCAAGATGGCTCCCTAGCACCGCGTAAACAAAAAGGATTACTGAACACTGGGAATGTGTTTTTAAAGATGATAGTATCATGAATAAGAACTTGAAGACTCGGGTTGCTGTATCTTTGAAGAATACAATCGGACGACATGTCGGGGTTCTTCCTGTTGATCCAAGACCACGTGTGACAAGGAAAGCTCCCTCGAGGTGAGAAACACTGATTATCCTCGTATTCTCTTGTTATGAGATTTCGGACGCTTATGAACATCCATTGTTTTCCAATTATCGTATGAAAGGTTGAAAAGCATGTCACTAACTTATCACAGACACTTCTGTCTTAGACATAAGTCATCATCTGAGTATGTACAATCGCAAGAATGTCAGAGTGAGGCACTACCGCAAACATGATAAACGTATGATGGCCGAAATGTGGGGAATAAAACACAGGTCTTTGGCCTTAAGAGCAAACGCTTTAACGACTAGGCTACACCATCGCCCCTTAAAAAATGAGACTTCGTCCGCAAAGATATCATTCTAACTGTAAAGGTGAAGAGTTTAGTTATGTAGCCCACTTTGTAATATTTGTTAAGATAAAATGATTTATTGTCTTGTCGTCAACGCTGTTATCATGACGTTATTGAGCTGATATGACTGTTATTAAACTCAGGGTCAATATATTCTGTCTTTACTCATAGCAGCTGAAAAATATAACAGCAGTATCTGGCAATCAATGGTATTGATCATCATGGAGTCTGTCACCAATAACTGGTGCTCATTTATCAAGCCATTTTCTCTGGGAAACTGGAAATTTGAGAATAGTTATGGAATTTCTTTCAATAATGTTATATGAATTTGTTGAAGGTAGCTAAATCATATCCTACCTCACCATCCCCTATGTGTCGTAAAGGGGTGCCAAACCCTACAGAACGTAAAGGGGTGCCAAACCCTACAGAACGTAAAGGGGTGCCAAACCCTACAGAACGTAAAGGGGTGCCAAACCCTACAGAACGTAAAGGGGTGCCAAACCCTACAGAACGTAAAGGGGTGCCAAACCCTACAGAACGTAAAGGGGTGCCAAACCCTACAGAACGTAAAGGGGTGCCAAACCCTACAGAACGTAAAGGGGTGCCAAACCCTACAGAACGTAAAGGGTGCCAAAACCCTAACCCTACAGAGCGTGGGGGTGCCAAACCCTACCCGTGGGGGTGCCAGACCCTACGGCCCAAACCCTACAGAACGTGAAGGGTGCCAAACCCTACAGATTGTAAAGGTGCCAAACCCTACAGAACGTGGGGGTGCCAAACGTTGTAAGGGGTGCCAACAGAGGCCCTACAGAAGAGCGTGGGGTGCCAAACCCTACAGGTGCCAAAACCCTACAGAACGTGAAGGGGTGCCAAACCCTACAGAACGTGAAGGGGTGCCAAACCCTACAGAACGTAAGGGGTGCCAAACCCTACAGAGCGTACCAGAGACGTAAAGGGGTGCCAAACCCTACAGACAGAGCGTGAAAGGGGTGCCAAACCCTACAGAACGTGAAACCCTACAGAGCGTGGGGTGCCAAACCCTACAGAACGTAAAGGGGTGCCAAACCCTACAGAACGTAAAGGGGTGCCAAACCCTACAGAACGTAAAGGGGTGCCAAACCCTACAGAACGTAAAGGGGTGCCAAACCCTACAGATTGTAAAGGGGTGCCAAACCCTACAGAACGTAAAGGGGTGCCAAACCCTACAGAACGTAAAGGGGTGCCAAACCCTACAGATTGTAAAGGGGTGCCAAACCCTACAGAACGTAAAGGGGTGCCAAACCCTACAGATTGTAAAGGGGTGTCAAACCCTACAGAACGTAAAAGGGTGTTTGATTGGTTAGTGGTGATTGACTGAAGAGGGATACCTTCCCTTCTTGATCAGAAAGGGTATTCAACCCTAACACAAGAAACCTTGAAGATCGGAAATGCTCCTAAGTTCTGTGAGATCCGTGAAGATCCGGGTTAGAAATGATCTTCAATAACCCACGCTTGTCGCAAGATTCGACTAACTGGATCGGGTGGTTAGGCACGCTGACTTGATTGACACATGTCATTGTATCCCAACTGCGTAGATTGATGCTCATAATGATGATCACTGGGTCGTCTGGTCCAGACTCAATTATTTGCAGACCTCCGCCATATAGCTGGAATACTGCTGAGTGCAATGTTAAACAACAAACCAACCAACCACCCATGTTGTGTGAAGCGAGAGCCACAGTTGGCTGCCTGAGCGAATTAGCCCTAATGTAAGCTGCACTCAGTCAACTGCATTGCTGCTGATCTTATAACTTTTAATTATGCATGTAGTATTCTCAATGAGTACAGCCTATAGTATCTCCGTGATTACTTCATGTGTATCACGTGACTTGTGTACTACGTCAGAATAAAGTGGGTGATTGGAACTACTCGCATGTCGTGTTGTCCCTTGTATGTGTTGACGAAAAGAGCCCATGAACTTTCATGATGAAGATACTAGAATGCATATTTTCCTGAATATTTGTGTTATTTTTCTTTCCAGCTAGATCAGTATTAAAGAATCTAGACATGACCAGTTACTATTGTGTAGTGAGTGAGTTTCAGTTTTACGCCAAACTCAGCAATATTCCAGCTAGATGGCGGCGGTCTGTAAATAATATACACAAAGAACAGTGACACACAGTCAGCTGGTTCACGGTCAAGCAGTGGGTCTTCAGTTAGTTTCTAGGGAGTGAAAATGAATTAATTACAAGTTATTTTGGATTCTGATGGTGTCAGATGTATGTCCGTAAGCTGTTACATTCAACTTTATCATTGTGCATCATTAGCCGTTGATCCCCCCCATGTCCGTCTGGAATCAATAATTATGGTATATATATTGACCAGTGCTGACAAGCAAATCAAACTGAAAGGATTTTTACGACATATTGATTATTTGAGGACATCTCCAATGTTCTGTTTTAAACAAATGCAGGAAGTCATTAGTTTTCATGATGTTTTTTTCATTTAATACTTACACTTATTTATATACTTCTCTGTATTCCAGTGGTGGAGGAGTTGTCAGGAAGGCAGGATCATGCACATCAGCTGCACAGCCACTGTCTCGCACGTCATCCCTCACCTCCACTAACCGTGACCTTTCTGATGATGAGGAGCATGATGATATCAAGTTATCAAGTGCTATTAATTCGAGACAGGGATCTTCAAGATCTGTGTCTTCCCAGTTTGGGTCAGCAAGAAGTAGGTCTTCACGTATTGGGTCATCCCGTGCTGGGTCATCTCGTGCTGGGTCATCCCGGAGGGCCTCTACTGGCACAAGGCCGCACACATCAGAAGAGAAGGAAAAAGATGATCGCCCCAAAAACACCATAGAACCTGAAGAAATTGTAAGTATTCTGGCAGTCATCTGACAAACAGTTTCTGATCATTACAAATGAACTTTGAATAATGATATGTTATTTGTTATGAGATGAGATTCAAAAAAGTATTGTTTCTTTATTTAGAAGTTGGTAGCTTAAACATTATCAATGGCCTGTGACTTGTTTGTGATCCTACTGGGCTTGTTGTAACAAGGGCTAGGTAAGACAAGGGCTAGTTGTGACATGGGTTAGTTGTGACATGGGTTAGTTGTGACATGGGTTAGTTGTAGCAATGGTTAGGTGTTAATGGGTTAGTTGTTACAAGGGCTAGGTGTGACAAGGGTAGGTGTGACAGGGGCTAGTTGTAGCAAGGGTTAGTTGTTACAAGGGCTAGGTGTGACAAGGGTAGGTGTAACAAGGGCTGGTTGTGACAAGGGCTAGGCGTGACAAGGGCTGGTTGTAACATGGGCTAGGTGTGACAAGGGCTGGTTGTAACAAGGGCTGGTTGTGACAAGGGCTATGTGTGACAGGGGCTAGGTGTGACAAGGACTGGTTTTAGCAAGGGCTGGTTGTAACAAGGGTTGGTTGTGACAAGGGCTGGGTGTGACAAGGGCTAGGTGTGACAAGGGCTGGTTGTAGCAAGGGCTGGTTGTGACAAGGGCTAGGTGTGACAAGGGCTAGGTGTGACAAGGGCTGGTTGTGACAAGGGCTACGCATGACAAGGGCTGGTTGTAGCAAGGGCTGGTTGTGACAAGGGCTAGGTGTGACAAGGGCTGGTTGTGACAAGGGCTGGTTGTGACAAGGGCTGGTTGTGACAAGGGCTAGGTGTGACAAGGGCTGGTTGTGACAAGGGCTGGTTGTGACAAGGGCTAGGTGTGACAAGGGCTGGTTGTAACAAGGGCTGGTTGTGACAAGGGCTAGGTGTGACAAGGGCTAGGTGTGACAAGGGCTGGTTGTAACAAGGGCTGGTTGTGACAAGGGCTAGGTGTGACAAGGGCTGGTTGTGACAAGGGCTAGGTGTGACAAGGGCTGGTTGTAGCAAGGGCTGGTTGTGACAAGGGCTAGGTGTGACAAGGGCTGGTTGTAACAAGGGCTAGGTGTGAGAAGGGCTAGGTGTGACAAGGGCTGGTTGTGACAAGGGTAGTTGTGACAGGGGCTAGTTGTTGTAACAGAGGCTAGTTGTAACAGGGGATAGTTTTGGCATGGGTTAGTTGTGTTGAGGACTAGTTGTATCGGAGGCTAGGTGTGACCTGGGTTAGTTGTTGTAACAGAGGCTAATTGTTACAGGGACTAGTTGTAACCATCATCTTCATATTCTAATTTAACCAGAAATGTAAGTTGTCAGTCTCACTGCTGCTTCTACTGTCACCAGTTGGAGCAGTGTCAGGAGCGAGACTACAACCGGGTGTACGAGATCAGCCTCCATGGAGAGGCCTTGACCCATGTGGCTGACCTAGAAAAGGTAGGTAACTCTCACCACAGCTCATACAGATTTGAAGCTTTAACTTATTATAATAAAGATATTTATAGTTTAAGCAGTGTTCGACCCCATAATGCAACTACCCACTGACCTGTTCCCTGCTGCCCTCTCCAGGTCATTTCTCCCCTTTCCTCTCCAGCTCATTCCTCTCTGGTCCTCCTCTTCCCTCTCCAGGTCATTCCTCTCTGGTCCTCCCCTTCCCTCTCCAGGTCATTCCTCTCTGGTCCTCCTCTTCCCTCTCCAGGTCATTCCTCTCTGGTCCTCCCCTTCCCTCTCCAGGTCATTCCTCTCTGGTCCTCCCCTTCCCTCTCCAGGTCATTCCTCTCTGGTCCTCCCCTTCCCTCTCCAGGTCATTCCTCTCTGGTCCTCCCTTCCCTCTCCAGGTCATTCCTCTCTGGTCCTCCCCTTCCCTCTCCAGGTCATTCCTCTCTGGTCCTCCCCTTCCCTCTCCAGGTCATTCCTCTCTGGTCCTCCCTTCCCTCTCCAGGTCATTCCTCTCTGGTCCTCCCCTTCCCTCTCCAGGTCATTCCTCTCTGGTCCTCCCCTTCCCTCTCCAGGTCATTCCTCTCTGGTCCTCCTCTTCCCTCTCCAGGTCATTCCTCTCTGGTCCTCCCCTTCCCTCTCCAGGTCATTCCTCTCTGGTCCTCCCCTTCCCTCTCCAGGTCATTTCTCTCTGGTCCTCCCCTTCCATCTGCAGGTCATTTCTCTCTGGTCCTCCTCTTCCATCTGCAGGTCATTTCTGCAGGTCATTCCTCTCTGGTCCTCCCCTTCCCTCTCCAGGTCATTTCTCTCTGGTCCTCCTCTTCCATCTGCAGGTCATTTCTGCAGGTCATTCCTCTCAGGCCCTCCCTTTCTTCCCTCAACATGGCATTTCTCCATGTGCTCGCACTTCCCTCTGCACATCCTTTCCCCTTGGTCCTCCCCCCTCCCATCTCCAGGTCATTTTTCCCAGGTCCTCTCCAGGTGATTTCCCCTTGTTTTTATACCCTCTACAACTATAAAGAAAAGGTAGACATTATCACACTATAATATTTGTAAGAATGATATATTAAGTGTCCAAAAGGCGATGAACATGACCAGCGGGCAGTTGGCAGGTTGGAATATGTTGTAGGGACGGTGATCGAAAAAAAAGTCATGGAAAAAATGTCATAGGAAAAGAACTATTATAAACATCCTGTTCTCCAGTTATTTACTTTGTTTATACTGTATTTTATAAATTTCACTTTCATTGTAAGTAATAAAATCATCCTCTTCTCCAGATATTTTGCAAAGAAAACACAAACAAACTAATGCAACAACAACTGTTATGAAAATGTCCTGTTCTCCGTTTACTTTGTTTATACTATTTCACTTTCAAGGTAAATATTCCTTTCAATGTGATGCTATAAGCAATTGGATCTTATCAGAACAGGAGGAATGAACATATTTGATAATGTGATAATATTGTTATGACTTGTTAAATAAATACATTATCAATATTGACCTTTTTTGAGACTTTTTTTCCCATGACTTTTTTCCTATGACTTTTTTTCCTACAACCGTAGGGATCAGGGGCCATACCCATGTTCCCAGTATATTGTTGGTTGCATTCATGTTTCTGAAGACTGTTTTCTATTCTTTTCAACAGTTCCGGAAAGTCCGGGTTCTGGATTTGTCCTGCAATCACATCAGAAGAATAGATAATCTGGAGTTCAATCAAGTAGGTTCCTACGTTCCATGTACACAGGGGTACTCATTTTATCTGTTTTTACACAGACAAGCAACATTAAGGTGTAATATGCCATCATTTCTTCTGTGTATACAGACAGGTGACATTAAGGTGAAATATGCCATCATTTCTTCTGTGTAAACAGACAAGTGACATTAAGGTGTAATATGGCTTCATTTCTTCTGTGTAAACAGACAGGTGACCTTAAGGTGTAATATGCCATCATTTATTCCTCGCTATGACAGGTGACATTAAGGTGTAATATGCCATCATTTCTTCTGTGTATACAGACATGTGACATTAAGGTGTAATATGCCATCATTTCTTCTGTGTAAACAGACAGGTGACATTAAGGTGTAATATGCCATCATTTCTTCTGTGTATACAGACAGGTGACATTAAGGTGTAATATGCCATCATTTCTTCTGTGTATACAGACAGGTGACATTAAGGTGTAATATGCCATCATTTCTTCTGTGTATACAGACAGGTGACATTAAGGTGTAATATGCCATCATTTATTCCTCGCTATGACAGGCGACCTTAAGGTGTAATATGCCATCATTTATTCCTCCCTATGACAGGTGACAGTTCTGAGGAATGTGCCCTAATGCCATCTGGAAATACACAAACAGCTTGTGTCACACTGCGACATTCATTGCATTTGTAATGAAGTATATCATCTTTGTATCTGGTCAAAATGAGAATTTTTTAAACTTACCCTATCTCACGTAAATGCCATCTCTTGATCTTACGGCCATTGAGTGGAAACAACCTGGAACCTCACCTGAACACACCCAAGGTCCTATTGTTGTAAACTCATACACAGTGTGTTCTCCTTATTGTTGTCTAGGGTGTAGACATCGCATCTTAGAGAGTTTTGTTCTCTATTATTGGGGGCTAGGGTAAAGCTTTTTCAATCTTAGAATTTGTAGGTATTTCTAATGGGAATGGATGACATGTCTTCTTGGAAGAAAATCATATGAAGTTTTGGAAGATGCAAAAGGACTTCTACTTCATTTGACTCCACTCACTCATCTTGATATTGTCTGGGCAGGAGAATTGGAATATTTGCCAAGAACTGGACCATATTTGATGACCAGTACATTGTCAGTGTTCTTTCAGAAGGATACAGACTACATCTTGTGTGAGTGCCGCCCCTGACTCTTGACCTCCACATCCATGGTGCCTGGACTGTGTGTTAGTAGAATAGTTAGCGATAGAATGGTTAGTGATAGAATTCATAGGTCCCTTGTGCGACAGACCTTGTTTTTGCTCACTGATCTCTCTCATCCTGAAGAAAGATTCGAAGAAGCTTTGCATGATTATCAACATGAAGATTTTCGGTGCTCAGTATTTTCAGCTGACTTCACACTTTAAGATGGTCTCCATTCACACGATCATCAATCAGGGGGATTACATGCTCAGCCTCAATCTCCAAGACACGTACCTACATGCACCAATCTTCCTATATCATTTAAAGTTGCTTTTATTTAATTTCTGCAAAAAAACCCAACACACCCCCACACACAGCTACAGACTACCCTCAGTACATTGTCAGACAAATTAACAATAGAGTCGTAAGGTCCATTTCTCAACACCTCACACTTCACCTGGAGTGCTAAGCTTCACCATCACTGAGTTGCAGGTCTGTGGTCAAGTGACAAACTGTTCCTCCACATCAGTTTTCAAGGAGCCAATTGTAACCCAGTTTTCAAGGAGGCGATTCTAGCAGTATGTCACTGGTCCAATTCACAGATAAATTTACAATTCCAGTATCTGAAAGTAACGGTTTTACGTCTTCACGTTTAGTCTGCGCTATCAGATCTACAGATGGCTTAACCTAGCTGTATAGGTGACGTAGCTGAGCTGCTCTGCCATAAGAGCCACAGTTACTGTAGCATTACAGATGGCACAACTTAGCTCTAAATTGGCCCCTGTAGGACCAGACCAGGTCCAGGTCCCCAGTAGAACCAGACTCTCCTGTAACACCAGACTCACCCGTAAGACCAGACTCACCCATAAGACCAGACTCACCCATAGGACCAGACTCACCCATAGGACCAGACTCACCCAAGGACCAGACTCTCCTGTAAGACCAGACTCACCCATTTGAAGCTTTAACTTATTATAATAAAGATATTTATAGTTTAAGCAGTGTTCGACCCCATAATGCAACTACCCACTGACCTATTCCCTGCTGCCCTCTCCAGGTCATTTCTCCCCTTTCCTCTCCAGCTCATTCCTCTCTGGTCCTCCTCTTCCCTCTCCAGGTCATTTCTGCAGGTCATTCCTCTCTGGTCCTCCCCTTCCCTCTCCAGGTCATTCCTCTCTGGTCCTCCCCTTCCCTCTCCATAGGACCAGACTCACCCATAGCACAAGACTCTCCTGTAAGACCAGACTCACCCATAAGACCAGACTCACCCATAGGACCAGACTCACCCATAGGACCAGACTCAGCCATAGCACCAGACTCTCCTGTAGGACCAGACTCTCCTGTAAGACCAGACTCACCCATAGGACCAGACTCACCCATAAGACCAGACTCACCTATAGGACCAGACTCTCCTGTAAGACCAGACTCACCCATAGGACCAGACTGACCCATAAGACCAGACTCACCCATAGGACCAGACTCTCCTGTAAGACCAGACTCACCCATAAGACCAGACTCACCCATAGGACCAGACTCACCCAAGGACCAGACTCTCCCATAGGACCAGACTCACCCAAGGACCAGACTCACCCATAGGACCAGACTCTCCTGTAGGACCAGACTCACCCATAGGACCAGACTCTCCTGTAGGACCAGACTCACCCATAGGACCAGACTCTCCTGTAAGACCAGACTCACCCATAAGACCAGACTCACCCATAGGACCAGACTCACCCATAGGACCAGACTCTCCTGTAGGACCAGACTGGTGGTATTGATTCAGCTGATGCTGGCTTATCTTCAGTTTTTCTTTCCAGGATTTACGCGAGTTGAAACTTTATGGGAACCAGATTTCAACTATTGAGAATCTAGACAAGTAAGTTGTGTTAGATTATCATAGGACATGCTGAATGTCCAGGATGATATGAGAAAGTCACACAGTCAGTCAACGGTATAGTTGTGTCGAGCAACAGTGGCAGAAGCTACAGTAAAATATCTGGCCCTCTCAAATTATTAACTATTGATTGGCAGTGTGACCACTTATCCAACTCATGGCAGTCAGATGTTGGCTGGAGAAAGTATTGTACATCTCTGTTTGATAACCCCTTTGTTTGTGTGTGCGCATGTGTGTTAGAGTAGTTAGTGAGTGTTCTGGTAGTTTGTATGTGTTAGTGAAGGTTGTGACTGACTGACTGACTCAGTTTGGTTTAACGCCGCTTTTAGCAATATTCCAGCTACATCACGGCGAGGGACACCAGAAATGGGCTTCACACATCGTACCCATTAGGCTACCCCACCGCCCCTAGTGAAGGTTGTGAGTGTTATGGTAGTGTGTGTGTTAATGTAGTTAGTGTGTGTTAGGGAGAGAGAGAGAGAGAGAGAGAGAGAGAGAGAGAGAGAGAGAGAGAGAGAGAGAGAGAGAGAGAGAGAGAGAGAGAGAGAGAGAGAGAGAGAGAGAGAGAGAGAGAGAGAGTGTGTGTGTTAGGGTAGTGTGTGTGATAGGGCAGTTAGTGTGTGTCATGTAAGTTAGTGTGTGTGAGGATATGTGATCAGTTTGGATACATATTGTGAATATTGTATGTCTTCATGTGATGTTTCTGTTTTAGTCTCAAGGAACTTTGCAGTCTACAGCTGCAGCACAACAAGATTAGATCAGTTGGTGAGTAGCTGTAACCTCGGGTTGTGTCTGTCTTCACACTGTCCAATTCAGCTGTACCCTCGGGTTGTGTCTGTCTTGACACTGTCCAATTCAGCTGTAACCTCGGGTTGTGTCTCTCTTGACACTGTCCAATTCAGCTGTACCCTAGGATTGTGTCTGTCTTGACACTGTCCAATTTAGCTGTAACCTCGGGTTGTGTCTGTCTTGACACTGTCCAATTTAGCTGTAACCTCGGGTTGTGTCTGTCTTGACACTGTCCAATTTAGCTGTACCCTCGGGTTGTGTCTGTCTTGACACTGTCCAATTCAGCTGTAACCTCGGGTTGTGTCTGTCTTGACACTGTCCAATTCAGCTGTACCCTAGGATTGTGTCTGTCTTGACACTGTCCAATTTAACTGTAACCTTGGGTTGTGTCTGTCTTGACACTGTCCAATTTAGCTGTACCCTAGGATTGTGTCTGTCTTGACACTGTCCAATTTAGCTGTAACCTCGGGTTGTGTCTGTCTTCACACTGTCCAATTTAGCTGTACCCTCGGGTTGTGTCTGTCTTGACACTGTCCAATTCAGCTGTAACCTCGGGTTGTGTCTGTCTTGACACTGTCCAATTTAGCTGTACCCTAGGATTGTGTCTGTCTTGACACTGTCCAATTTAACTGTAACCTTGGGTTGTGTCTGTCTTGACACTGTCCAATTTAGCTGTACCCTAGGATTGTGTCTGTCTTGACACTGTCCAATTTAGCTGTAACCTCGGGTTGTGTCTGTCTTGACACTGTCCAATTCAGCTGTAACCTAGGATTGTGTCTATCTTGACACTGTCCAATTCATAAAGTGTGGGAGGTCGGGTTGGTATGGGGTGAATACAAGGTGAGGGAGGTCGGGTTGGTGTGGTGTGAATACAAAGTGAGGGAGGTTGGGTTGGTGTGGTGTGAATACAAAGTGAGGGAGGTTGGGTTGGTGTGGGGTGAATACAAAGTGAGGGAGGTTGGGTTGGTGTGGTGTGAATACAAAGTGAGGGAGGTCGGGTTGGTGTGGTGTGAATACAAAGTGAGGGAGGTCGGGTTGGTGTGGGGTGAATACAAAATGAGGGAGGTTGGGTTGGTGTGGTGTGAATACAAAGTGAGGGAGGTCGGGTTGGTGTGGGGTGAATACAAAGTGAGGGAGGTCGGGTTGGTGTGGTGTGAATACAAAGTGAGGGAGGTCGGGTTGGTGTGGTGTGAATGCAAAGTGAGGGAGGTTGGGTTGGTGTGGTGTGAATACAAAGTGAGGGAGGTCGGGTTGGTGTGGTGTGAATACAAAGTGAGGGAAATTAGGGTTGGTGTGGGAGTGAATACAAAGTGAGGGAGGTCGGGTTGGTGTGGTGTGAATACAAAGTGAGGGAGGTCGGGTTGGTGTGTGGTGAATACAAAATGAGGGAGGTCGGGTTGGTGTGGTGTGAATACAAAGTGAGGGAGGTCGGGTTGGTGTGGTGTGAATACAAAGTGAGGGAGGTCGGGTTGGTGTGGGGTGAATACAAAATGAGGGAGGTCGGGTTGGTGTGCAAAATGAGGGAGGTGGGGTTGGTGTGGTTTGAATACAAAGTGAGGGAGGTCGGCCTGATGTGGGGTGAACATTAAGTGAGGGAGGTCGGTCTGGTGTGGTGTAAACATAAAGTGAGGGAGGTCGGGTTGGTTTGGGCAGAACATAAAGTGACGGAGGACGGCCTGGTGTGGGCATAACTTATAAACCTATGGCCAATGTTGTCTATTGTTCTTGCAGCTGCTTCGCATTATGGAATAACCTCGGTAGAGGTTTTACGATTGCAGGAGGTTTTACAATGACCATTGTAAAACCTCATATGAGGTTCGAAGTTTTACAATGGTCGTTGTAAAACCTCATGTCAGTATGAACCATGTGTTTCTCACAAGACAGGTACTGCGGGCAGCGCATGTGCAGGACACGGGTAGCGCATGCAGAGCATAAGCATTGCGCGTGCGGGGCAAGGTGTTGTCTGCCAGTCGCATCCCAGTTGATACTGGCTGTTCCATCATTTGTGGGCTGTTCCATCAATGTTGTTCTACTCAGTACATGCACAAATTGAAAATAATACATATGTAATTTTTGTTGTCTAAGACGGTTTATAAGTTTGATAAAAGACTCCTCCTCGGTTTTGGTTAAGAATGTAAAACCTCAGTGTCAGGAAATCCAAATTCTCAACCAAAACCTTGGAGTCATCTTGGTGTGGGGTGAACATAAAGTTAGGGAGGTCGGTCTGGTGTGGGGTGAACATTAAGTGAGGGAGGTCGGTCTGGTGTGGTGTGAATACAAAGTGAGGGAGGTCGGCCTGGTGTGGGGTGAACATAAAGTGACGGAGGACGGCCTGGTGTGTTGTGAACATAAAGTGAGGGAGGACGGCCTGGTGTGGGGTAAACATAAAGTTAGGGAGGTCGGGTTGGTGTGGTTTGAATACAAAGTGAGGGAGGTCGGCCTGATGTGGGGTGAACATTAAGTGAGGGAGGTCGGTCTGGTGTGGTGTAAACATAAAGTGAGGGAGGTCGGGTTGGTTTGGGCATAACTTATAAACCTATGGCCAATGTTGTCTATTGTTTTTGCAGCTGCTTCGCATTATGGAATAACCTCGGTAGAGGTTTTACGATTGCAGGAGGTTTTACAATGACCATTGTAAAACCTCATACGAGGTGCGAAGTTTTACAATGGTCGTTGTAAAACCTCATACCATGATGTGAGGTTTTGAAATGACCATTATTTATGACTGATACAACTTTGTCTTGCTATGACTGATCGTAAAATATCTCATTATTGAAAACTTCCAATATTTAGTGGCGATAACTGGTTTCGAACCCGCAACCCATCGCTTCTCGAGCTTGGCGGTTTTATCCACCACGCCACGGAAGGATCGCTGTGAGGAATGAGATTGTTTGTCAGTATGAACCATGTGTTTCTCTACAAGACAGGTACTCGCGGGCAGCGCATGTGCAGGACACGGGTGGCGTAGCGTGCAGAGCATGAGCATTGCGCGTCTTGAGGGCAAGGTGTTGGCTGCCAGTCGCATCCCAGTTGATAGTGAACGCGGCGGAGGACGCACAACGGAGGACGCCCGGTGGAACGCGGCGGAGGACGGGTGAACGACATGGACCGGACAGGAACATTATGGAGGACCGGTGGAATATGGAGGACCGTTCCAGGGTGAACACATGACCCGGAACGCATGGAGGATCGCCCGGTGAACACAAGGATCACCCAGGAACGCATGGAGGACGGCCCGAAGGAACACATGGAGGACCCAGTGGAATATGAGGAGGAAGGAACACGGTGGAGGACGGAAGGAAGGAGGACCCAGCCCGGTGAACGCAAACGAACTGGATGGAGGTCGGCCCAGAACACAAGGAGGACCGCCCAGGAAGAACGCACGGAGGAATATGGAGGACCCCAGGAACGGCCAGTGGAACACGGAGGACGAACACGGAAGGAACGACAGCGGAGGACGGCCCGGTGGAATATTGCGGAGGACCGGTGGAGGACAAGAACACAAGGAGGACGCATAAGGAACGCGTGGAGGACAGGCGGAGGAATGGAAGGACATGGAGGTCGGCCTGGTGGAACAGTGGAGGACGGCCCATGCAGTGAACGCCCGGTGGACGGCCTGGTGATCGGTCAGGATGGAGCCCGGCCCGGGTGGATAACGGAAGGATCACCGGAGAACACGGTCTGGTGGAACATATGGAGGACCGCCCAGTGGATTACTGGACCGCCCAGCGGAAGGAACGATGTCGGCCCAGGAACGAACAGAAGGAGGAAAAGGAGGTCAGTCCGGATGGATAATCGGCCCGGAACACGAAGGAACACACGGTCCGGCCCAGTGAAACGCCCGGAGGTCGGCCCAGGACGGCCCAGCGGAACACGAAGGACGGCCCGACCAGGAGGCCCGGCCCGACCAACATGGACAGTCCAGGAAGGAACACGGAAGGAATCACGGTGAAGGAGGACGGGAGTGAACGGCCGACCCAGGAAGGTCAGGAGGAACGACAGGAGGAAGCAGCGGAACACACCGCCCAGCAGGAACCAACGTGGAACAGGAATCCGTCTGGATATCGGCCCAGAATGGAGGAACACGCAGGACGGCGCAGGAACGACGGCCGGAATGGAGGACGGTCTGGTCAAGGACACGGAGGACGGTCGGCGTGGAATGCGGAGGACGGCCCAGTGGAGGACAGGCCCAGGAAGACACGGCATGGAACATGGAGGAGGACGGCCCAGGAACACAGCGAACGATAAAAGTGGAGGACGGCCCAGTGGTGGAACGGCCCAGTGAACAGAAGGATGGACTGGTGGAACATAAAGGAGGACAGTTCTGGCGGAACACAGTGGAGGACGGAGGAAGGTGGACGGAGAACAGGAACACAGTGGAGGACGGCCCAGTGGAACAGGTGGAGGACGGCCGGTGACAGTGGAGGACGGCCAGGTGGAACACAGTGGAGGACAGGAACACAGGACGGCCTGGTGGACACAGTGGAGGTCGGCTCGGGTGAAGGAACATGGAGGATCGCCCAGTGGAACACAAGGCCGGTCCAGTGGAACACAGGGAGGACGGCCCAGGAACAGAAGTGGAGGACGGCCCAGTGGAATATGGGGTGGAGGACGGAACAGTGGTGGAACGAGTGGAGGGTCGTGGTCTGGTGGGGTGGAATGGAGGACGGAATAGGGAACAGTGGACGGCCCAGTGGAGGATCGATACAGTGGTGGAACATGGAGGGAGGATATAGTGGAGCATGGCCCAGTGGAATGGAGTGGAGGGACAGTGGAACAGTGGAGGACGGGAACAGTGGAGGACGAAAAGCAGGGGTGGAATGAGTGAGTGAATGGCAGTGGAACATAGTGAGGTTTGAGCAGGTGGAATGAGGACTGCCCAGAGGAATTGAAGGAGGCCTGGAAGGAATGGAGGTCAAGTGGAATGCCCCAGAACACAGAGGACGGAATATGAACAGGAATAATGGAATGGAGGG